CCACACCTACCTAAAATGGCTCGTTCTAACATGCCCCCACATATCTACATCACTATGTGGGAAGATTTGCATAACGCCGCCAAAATGTTCACGCAAAGAAAGAAGGCGTAACTTTTATTCTGGCTGTAGTATTGTTGCTGCCGCCATGTTGTGAATGCGCTGTGTGTTTCCTTGTGAAAGCGAAACTACTTTGTTTGGCCTTCCAAAAATGGACACGTCTAGAAATCAGTGGTTCAGTTGTATTAACACTGTAACACTGTTCCAGAACACTTCAACCCAAATATTCAGATGTGTGCAGCACATTTTATGGAGGACTGTTTACTGATCCTGGTAGAGTAGACGACAACTAAAATGCCGGCAGTTCTGACTCACGTAAGTACGTTTTCATTTAAAGGATTTGCCACTGATGATTCAAACTGGTAAGGGGCGTAACATTTCCGTCACACGCTTGAGGTATTCGGCCAATCATAACGCACTGGATAGCTGGCTAATCAGAGCACACCTCGCTTTTCAGACCGATTAGTTTTGTAAAAATCGACGCGTTTCAGAAAGGCGGGGCATAGAGGAGAATAATGAATGTACAGTATGTGGAAAATGTGTTTTTTTTAACCTTAAACCGCATAAACCCATTTCATTACACCAAATACACAAAATAATGTTCTTTTTAGCAGCATCATATGACCCCTTTAAAGAAATAAAAAAGTAAAAAAAATAAAAAATGTGTTTCTTGGCAGAAAGATAATCCTATGGGAACAATATGAGAGTGAGTAAACAATGACAGAATGATCATTTTTAAGTGAATTATTCCGAGTGAACATTTTTGGGTGAACTGCCATAATATGCTATTAAAACAAAAATTGAGCTGACAGCTAAACGGCATCCAGTCAAAACCAGTTTAAAACGTTTAACTCAAGTTTAATCTGAGCCCTCTGGTGAATCCGATACTATTTTCATGATCATTTCATGAGACATTTACTTGATAAATGGTCTCTCCGGGTGCTTCAGAGAGCAATAAACCTATTATTTATAGGTGCACAAGCCTTCGGACAATTGTTAATGTCACTGTGTCCTGACCTCACAGGCGAGTTCAAAGCTCCAGTGCTCAGTCGGCCGAGTCAGCCTGCTAAAGTGTTTATGATACTAAAATCAGCCGGTCCCATATGGAGAAGGCAGACCCGTAGACTAGTGACTGGGATGGTAGAGGACACGGTTACCGGACCGTAGCCCTGTCACGCAGAGATGCAATCACGACTGTCATTATTACCATTTAGTCCTTCACCAGATGCCCTCTTAACAGGCGAGCAAACCTGACTGCAGTGGATCACATCATCACCATTCCCCTCCAGTGATCGGCTTCTCTGATCTTCCAATCAGCTCACGTCCTCTGAGCTGATGCATTGACCATGTTTACCTCAGGAAGTGACATTTGCAACTTTATTTAGCTCAATGAGTTGTCGGTTATTGGCATGACCTTTTCTGCCATTGCTGTGGGTCCAACAAGCCTCAGAGACTCCGACTTCTTTTCTCGCTTATATCAGTGTTCTTATAACTTACTTACGGTACTTATAAAATGCATCGACTAATAGAGGAGTGTTTAATTCCAATGAGAATATTTATAAATATACAAGAGTGAAGTCGGAATTGATGAGAATGGAGGTCGTGTTTATGGCAAGTTGTTTATTAGTGGGCGTGATATGAAATTCAAATGATATAAAAATGCTATTTTGCTTGTGTGCTGGCAAATGATTTGGTCCCTTGTCAAACTAGATATCAAAAACAGTTTTTAGAAGGTTTAATCGGGGTTAAGTCTCACACATTTGAGATGTTTCTCTGTGAGTAAATAATGACAGACTTTTTGTTTTTAATAATTTTTTAGATTTCCCATCATGTGTCTTAAGTAAACATGCACTTACTCTCCTGTTTAAATTCCCATTGGCTGCACCTTTCAGACGCAGCTCTAAAGGCATCTTTCACAGTGATAAGGAAGTGCTTTATGTATTCCGGTCATGTTGAATATACACACACCTCCCTGACAAATGCAAGGCCGGCAGGAGTTAGAACTATGGGGGATGATAAACAGTTTTGTTTGTGTATCTGTGACTGAGTAAGGAAAGAGAGCATTTTATTTCTTTGATGAAATGCATTAGACATGTGGTGGGATTGAATCAGGTATGCTTCAGCATGCTGTAGTAAGAAAAATAATTCATAAAGAACTAAATAAAAATGTTTCAAAGCTACCCATTTTCAATCTCGATTTTTGTTTGTTTGCTTCTTTGTTTATAAGACTACAGAAGCTGCAAAGCAACATCAACCGTGTCTGTTAAAACAATTTATTTCAAACAAGAATTGATTTTGTGGGGGGTGGGGGGGTTGGGGGTGCTGCAGAGGTCTTTAAATCTATTCTGCAAACACCATATGTCTGTGAAAATACATGAAAAATGAAAAATATTCAAGGCTTTGTGCTTAAGAGCTGTTCATGTTCTATTCTCTTACTGTGGAGGTCCACTTTTTAAAGCTTGTTCTTTGTGATAGAAATAATGCCACCTTTGGGGTTCAAAAATATAAAAGTGAATAATACCTTTCCCACATACTCAAAAAGTGTGATAGAAAACATTATATGCTCATATGAACACACACATTTATTCATTACCAAATGCTCTGTTCCAAAACCTAGTGAGCTGCCTACATAGGCAGCATTTTAAGGCATCATGGACACAAAGCCTTGTGGACGAGTGATGAGAGTGAGATGTTGTAAATATACTTAGTTCACTCAATACCTAAACAAACAATCAAATAAATTATTTTTGTGTGTTATGTATTTTTATGCTTATTGGAGAATTTTATTAGTAGCTTAACTAATGGCAGATTCAAAATAATTGGAAATGGATCACTTATGTTCTTTTTCAGTGCTTCCTTAAATGTAGGGTTTTTAGAGAGCTCACTAAGTTTTAAAACATAGTGATAATCTTCACATTCATTGATTATAATATAAAATTCAGAATTAAGATTCATGCCTCAATCCATCATTTATGATCCAAAAAACAAAACAAAATACAAGACACAGTTCAATCAAGCTGCAGTCAGAGGCATAAACTGGAAATAAAGATGCCTGCATTGCGTGTGCCAGAGAGGAGGTTTGCTGAGGGGCAGCATCTCCAGCATGACTATCTTCTTCTTTATTGAAAAAGACAAATGAGGAGGTTTGTAGGCAGACGTGCTTCATTTTAACATCGTACTGTGGCCCATGGCAAAGTATGTGTGCAATCAATAAGTGTCAAGTATGCCCATAATGTCACATGATGTTTACCTGTGGTTTATTTACATAAAATGAGTGTGTATAAAGAGCATAGCAGAAACACACAACTCCTCTCCTAAAGATCAGGTAGTTAAAGCTCAAAAATAATCAAAAAAAAAAAATTCTGACAACATTTTACTTCCATTGTTTGGTGAACTCTAAGCAGGTTTGTGGCAAAACATGTTTTGTGGCTCAATCTGTGATTTGAGTACAGTATATTTTGCCTCCCTTTTGATTTTGATGTTGGTGGCCTTTTTTAAAGTGGGTTAGCGGTCAGATATGGTATAGAATGAAACCTCCTCCCTAACAAAATTATGTCCCACAATTCACCTGTAATCTCACAACGGAGCCCCCGAGGGTGCAATAAATGTTTATTACCACTAAGCTTCTTTCATAATACCTCCTTCGTTCTAATGCATAAGGGTTATTGAAAACACCTAAGTCTAACACCTGACCTCAACTTATTTCAGATTCTCTTCATCTTATTTTTTTCTCAAAATCTGTATTTTTAGTAGGGGAACAATTCTGTGTTTTTCTACCGATAATCTGAGGTAGACTGAATGGTTATGTGCTCGTCTTCATTACTAATGAAAACTTTAGAGCTTTAAAGTCTTTATACAAAGCAACCCAAAATCAGAATTGATCATATTTACTTTCCTAAAATGCATTAAGTATATATCTTTTTTATCCTTAAAATGTTTTAAAGAAATAAATTGTCATTTTGACCACTTTCAATGCAAAAGCACCTTAAAAACATCATAAAGTTAGTCTATATGAATTGTGCACTGTATTTTAGAACTACTGTAATTACACAGTATAACTAATTCAAGACATCTAGTGAAACTCTTCCCAGTATTTTCATGAGAGAAATGAAAATGTTGTGAACGAATTATTCTTTTGAGGCAAATCTTTTCAATGAATCATTTGAGCTAGATCACAAAACTGGTCTCAAGTTAATCATGAATCAAACTGATCTGAAGTTTAACTCAATGACTGATGGTTAACAGCAAACAGGACACTTTTCAAAATGTGACACAGAATGAAGAAAGTCATATAGGGTGATGAAAAAACTTTGATTTGTGGGTCAATTATTCCTTTAAAATGAAAGCGATATCTCCGATAGCGATAGCTCCCCCTCATTCGGTGAGAGTGTGTTAATGAGCACATGACGAATAAGGTCTCTGTTGCTGCATGATAAGAAACTAGCATAACATACATTATTCAAACAGCTGTAGCTGTATATCAAGTATAATAGAAAGATGCATAGCTGCATTGTCAGTTAGTCTCATCATATGGTGTTATAATGCATATGCTGACTCTCCTTTCTCTCTCGGTCTGTCTTTCTGGCGGCCACAGAGCGGATGGCATGGGATAGGCGTGGATGTGCTCGTGGATGTTGTGACAGTGGTTCAGTGAGGCGTGAGAGGGAAGGTTACAGTATTGGCTCAAAGGCAATGCCAGCTGATGCAACAGATGGCAAATGTCTTTGATTGGTGCAAGGTGTTTGATGAGCAGAAATGGCTCTGTTTAATTACTTGTCAAGTTGTCCGTCTGGGGCTGGAGGCTCCTTGTCTGTCTTAGAGGCTTCTGGGACTTCAGGCCTGATTGAATTGCATTGCTGGATGGACTGAAGCGCCAAGCAGTTCCTGCATCTGTTGTTTGGACCATCAGAATGTAATTTCTCTCTTTTTTTTTCTTTCTGCAGTATGCCCTGGCACAGAGAATAAACTGAGTACTCTGTCAGACCTGGACCAGCAGTATCGAACCCTTCGTAAATACTATGAGAACTGCGAGGTGGTGATGGGTAACCTGGAGATCACCAGCATCGATCGCAGTCGTGACCTGTCCTTTCTTAGGGTAAGTAGTCTGTGCGAGTTATTACAGGTCTCCACATGACGTCTTGGATTTTGTATATTGTTTGTTTTCCATAGTTTTTTGTTGTTGTTGTTGTTGTTCTGTGTCATATCAGAGTCAAAGTTTCAAGGTAACAATTACACCTAGTATATTAGTTACCATAAGCTATTTGCCTGAGTCAGTTTGAAATGGTGTAAAACGAACTTAGGAGTGCGTCGTAAATTAAACCTGCTAGTTTTTATTCCCTTACTGTCAACCAGTAGATCCTTGTTCACAAATGAGATTGTTCATTAATTTCCTTCGCAAATGACCTGTCCCAGTTCGTTTAGTTCCTTTTCCAAACAAGATGTCTCATTTACTCTGCTAAAAGCCTTGCTATACTTGCAGCAACGTTATTTTCATTCTTCACTTAAGATCACAAAAAGTGGTCCTTTTAAGATCACAAAAGTGGTCCACTTAAGATCACAAAAAGTGGCACAAAATTACCAATCACACGGATTCCTATTGAAATGAATGGAATTCAACTGCAAAATGTCACAGAGCAACGGTAAATGTGACTGCACCTTTGCACAAGTTTTGCTATTTGGCACTCTGGTCAAGACGTTTATGTATGTAGCACTTTATACAATATATTGGTTTAAATTAAGCAGCTTCTCCATGTTAATCATGAAAAAAGAGCGTCAGTGTTTATTTCGATTATAAATTATTTTTGCCAGAGTTCGCTTTGGCAAGCTGTTTCGAACTCCTGAAACAACCAAGTCACTTCATTTTGGCCTGATTTTGCTCTAAATGATGTCAGACCAGTTGGTTTTTTTTTATTTTGCTTGAAGTATATTGAGGCCTTTAGGATTAATTCAGAAAATCATATGGCAGAAATAGTAAAAGTAGTATGCTAGTGTTGTGTGATATACTAGTACACCTCTGTCCTTTCTTATTCAAAACACTTAAGTTCAGTAGGTCCACAGTCTGCACTTCTATGCTATTTGTGTACTCCATGCTGTAGTCAGTATTTGAAGTCAGATAAAAGCAACCAAAGCAATCCTGCAAATCAGACGAGAGAGATATCTGTGAGTTGTAAGTGCATGGAATGAGAATAATTTGTTCACTTAAAAGATTAGAAAGTGGTTTGTTTGTGACTGAAACGCCACTAGTGATGAAAACAAACAATAGAGTCTGACCTCACTGCCGACCTCCCCCCGTCACAATAGCCCCATTTCAGCTCGTGCCATGATGAGGATAATGGGTAGTCGGAGAAAGGTCAGGGATCTTTTCTTCAGGAACAACATAGTGATAAATATTGTGTGTTGAGACATGACTAGTGAACGTTCCTGTACTTCCTTATAAACATATTGCTGGCTAGTGCTTATAACACATCCCTTGTATAACCAATTTCGATTTATTTAATTTGATCTAATGGAAATGAAGGAGACCCTCATTAGGTGTGTTGTAGCTGAGATGTGTAGCTTAAAATAGGTTGGTTTTGGCAGTTTAGAATAAAAATAAATGAATATGTTCAAGTTATGCTAATTGAACTACTTATATTTATTGCATCTGAGGCATAAGATATTGTTTGGTTATTAAAGGAAAAGTTTACCTTTTGAGTTGAACTCAAGATCTGGTTAAAACCAATTTCACTAAAGTATTGATGTCAGATTCATGAACGTATAGTTGTTTTTAATTTAATCTTTTTGGTTGATTCAGTTCATAAAACCCGTCCAAATGATTTGAAGTAAAATTCTCTGTATAATAAGTGAATCTTTCTTTTGAGTCCAAACTTTTCAATGAATCGGATAATCCGGTTCACATCACTACTTCAGTGAGCAAAGCTTTCATATTAGTTTCGTGAACCGGATCAACCGATTCAAAAAAATTGACTCAAAAGAGCAATTCACTCATTAATCAGTGAAACTCATTAATTCAGTGAACAAGATGAGATTCAAAAGAATGAACTGAACAATCTTTTTAATGTAATCTTTTCACTTTTTTAGTCACAAAAAAATTAAATAAAAGTAATAATACATAATGAATTATTCTCATTCACTCAAATAGCAATTCATGAGTGAATTGCTCGTTTGTGTCAAATCATTTTACCAAATCAGTGTATATGGTCCACAAAAACAAAAACTAATTGGACTGATTGGCTTCTCCAAACTTTCACTGATTCATTGATTCAGGCTTAAGTGCCTTCACAAATCAATTTTTTGTCAGCTTTGCAGTTTAAGAAATGTGGTCACAATGGACTTTATATTTAGATTGAAAAAAAGCAGCATGTCATGATATGAGGGTGAGTAGTAAATATTGTCTAAATTATCATTTTGAGGTGAATTATTGCTTTTAAGACTAAAATAAAGTTGAATAGACTATACCAAAGAGGTTCTTAGTGGACTCACCTCATTACATAGTGCACGACAGCATTTCTAGTTGTCCCGTCTGATATCAGCCCTGCAGGTCCATCAGTTTTTCTTTAGAGTCTGTTTCTGCATTACTAATTGTTCTGGAATCTGTTTTAAATGAGTCGAAAACACACACAACACCACCCTGCAGGTCATGAAGACTGTGCAACTGTGCAGGGCAAACATTGGTCTCCCACGGCCAATGCGATTGCTGGTATCAAAGTAAAAGCGTTGATAAACTGAGTCATATTGTTGCTCAGGCTCAATGGGATAATGGTTAGGGAGAAGAACACATTCTGAGCTTAGACATCAATCTAAAAACAATTCCGGTTCATGTTTATTTCACCGCACCATAGGGGATCATATTGTGCCATGAATATCACTCCTAGGAAGAGGCTTTAAGATTTAGACTGCCATCATTGTAGGCCAATGAGGTCTAGATGTATCTAGAGGCACCCAGTTGCACAGGTTAATTGAACTTGTTAATTGAGAACAACAGCAGGGGCAAAGGGTGGAGTCACGTGTATTTTGGGCAGGATTTTTTATATTTTAAAACATTAATATCACGCTTCCCCTGGGTCTTTCCGTCAGTTGGGGAAAACTTCACCTTGAAGAGACAAAAACGAGGAGAAGAGAAATCTTTTCAGCGGTTGACTAGCTGTCTCTTGGGTGATTGAAACTGATTCTTTCCTTTTTAAAGATAGCTGGAGATTGATGGCCACTTCCAAAACAGCCAGAATGGCTTTAGTGGTAAACAGAGTTCATCTTCTCGTGCCTTCAGGGCTGATGAATTAAACCCGCAATGTGATGAATAACTGTAATTCTGCCCTCTTAAAATTTCCACATTTCTCTTTTAAAGGCAAAGGTTACATTGCATCCCAGAGCTGGATGTTTTGTCGTTCGGTCCAAGTGGACAGTTGCTGGGTTTCCATGCCATTTATGCGCATTTTCAATTTGTGCTTAAGTAAAGCTGAATTTAAAAACTTGATATTCGCATAAACTCTCAAAATTTGCATAAGGTTTATGAGATGGAGATGGAGGTTAAGTTTTTCGCAAAACAGATGCGGTATTTTCACCATTTGGGCATGTTTCTGCACTTTCTCTGGAAAAAAAAAAGACAAACATGATGCTCCTATATAATGTGCAATGTTTTGCATTCTCTTTTGTAGACTTTTCCCAAATATATTTAAAACATTTGGATGGAAATGCAGCTACTGACACCCTCTTGCAATGATCCACCATCTTTGATTAGGCCGTCTTTCGGCCCTCCATCGCATATAATGTATTAAATGCTTAGTTCAGGATTTAATGAGCCGATATAGAGTTAATAACCGGTTATCATTTCCAAGAGGAAAGCATAAATATTTCCACAAGGCAGCATGTCATTAGGCTGAAGATTAGATACTGAAGAGTGCTTAGAGTGCGAGGTCTGACTGGAAATATTACTAGATACGGTGTTGCTATGGAGCCCTGACCAGAACCGTTCTTCTTTTTAATTTCACGTCTCTTTTTCTCATCGAGTGTCTCTTTTTTCATTCTATGCATTTTCCCCCTTTTCTCATGTTGTCAGTTCTAGTCAGTACAAGTGGCTTCCCAAAAACAACGATGCTCCTAGAATAGCTTTCGGATCCTGAACTGAACTGAAGACTTTGCTAAAGGGTCACCGGCTTTCAACTGTTAGTGACATTTTGCAGATTTTTTAAAAACGTTGCTAGCAGGATATTCAAAAGGCCATGTCATTCTTAACAGATCAGTAGTTCTTTCAAATACATACATATACTTAGTTAATATAATTAATTCCTGCAATGGCAAAACTGAATTTTCAGCAGCCATTACTTTGCTATGGAGCCCTGACCAGAACCGTTCTTCTTTTTAATTTCACGTCTCTTTTTCTCATCGAGTGTCTCTTTTTTCATTCTATGCATTTTCCCCCTTTTCTCATGTTGTCAGTTCTAGTCAGTACAAGTGGCTTCCCAAAAACAACGATGCTCCTAGAATAGCTTTCGGATCCTGAACTGAACTGAAGACTTTGCTAAAGGGTCACCGGCTTTCAACTGTTAGTGACATTTTGCAGATTTTTTAAAAACGTTGCTAGCAGGATATTCAAAAGGCCATGTCATTCTTAACAGATCAGTAGTTCTTTCAAATACATACATATACTTAGTTAATATAATTAATTCCTGCAATGGCAAAACTGAATTTTCAGCAGCCATTACTCCAGTCTTCAGTGTCACATGATCCTTCTGAAATCATTCTAATATATGCTGATTTGCTGATCAAGAAACATTTCTTTTTATTATCAATGTAGAATTACCGTAAAATACCATACAATTTTGGGTAATTTGCGATTGTTTTAAATCTTATATAAGTAAATTCTAAATAAAACAATCGCAGAGGGAAAGAAACTCCGTGTTCTCCATCGTTTTTCACAGCCCGAGGCAACTGTGAGCTCGGATGGGCCAAAGGTTGCTTCTCTCAGAAACATTCACCTCCACTTCCTATAAACTTATTTGTTTGCTGACTCTAAATATTGATTCAAATAAAACTTACGTTGGAATAGAGAACATTTAAGATGACTCTCCTGGCAAATACTGTCTAAGCAGCCGTTGT